ACCAGCGATCCTCCGGATCGCAAGGTGCCGGAGACTTAGTGTGTTGCGCCACCATCCATCCTCCGACCCCCAACCCTTTAGGGGTCAACATATAACGATCTGGCGGATAACGTCGCATAGTAGACTGACGTGGCTCCGGCTTGAACCAGCGATCCTCCGGATCGCAAGGTGCCGGAGACTTAGTGTGTTGCGCCACCATCCATCCTCCGACCATCAACCCTTTAGGGGTCAACATATAACGATCTGGCGGATAACGTCGCATAGTAGACTGACGTGGCTCCGGCTTGAACCAGCGATCCTCCTGATCGCAAGGTGCCGGAGACTTAGTGTGTTGCGCCACCATCCATCCTCCGACCACCAACCCTTTAGGGGTCAACATATAACGATCTGGCGGATAACGTCGCATAGTAGACTGACGTGGCTCCGGCTTGAACCAGCGACCTCCGGATCGCAGGTGCCGGAGACTTAGTGTGTTGCACCACCATCCAGCCTGCTGACCACACCAACACCACTTCCAGTGGCAACCCAGCTTTTCTAGCTGGTCTCCCATTCATGTACTGGCCAGGCATAAACTTGTTTAGCTTCCAGTGGAGTACTGGGCTGAACTGCAGGTGCTATGGCTACTGACAATCTGTGTGTGTGTCGTTGTAGGGGATGTAGTTGTACCCCCTACAGATCAGGTGGAAAAAAAACTATTTGATCAATCAATCAATCAATTTTCTGAAACTGGGGCAATTTGCCAGCATGTTGGAGGGGAGGGGCTGGAAAAACCAGAAGACACGAGGAGAACATGCAACTTCAATTAGACAATCCTGAGAGAGATTTGAACCCTGGTCCCACAGATGAGAAGCGGCAGTGCTAACTACTACACCACCAAGCCACACCTATTAAATTTGTAATTTTCATCAGGCCATATTAAATGGCCTGTCATGTCAACGTGTAATAATTTATTATAAATGTATTTATCTGGGTTTATCTGGCTCTGGGAGAAAAGCCTAGACTTTAAGCCCTAGAGCAGTGGTGGGCAATCATATCCAGAAAGGTTCACTGTGTGTGCAGGTTTTCACTGCAACTCCCTAATTAGACTACTAATTAAAGGACTGATTGACTGAAGAGTCCTCACACCTGGGTTAGAACAGCTGACCTAATGGTTATCCCAACAACCTGCATACACACTGGCCCTTGGCAGATGATTGTCCAGCTCTGCCTTATAGTCTATCTGTGTGTGTTTCCCTTACATTTGCATTATTTATTGCGGGCATCGTGTTTATTTGCATTTAATTGCTTTCAGTTGCTGCATCTGAAATGATTTTAGTAACTGAATATTTTGCTTAACTTGGCCAGTTTAGCTGACTACTATACTTGGTTTAATGGCAAAAGCTAAGGGGCCTGGACCTGCCCCCCCCCCCCAGCCCTCTGTAAGTCCACCCCTGCCCCCTCTCAGGTGTGATCGTGTCCACGCCCACCGGCAGCACCGCCTACGCCGCAGCGGCCGGCGCCTCCATGATCCACCCCAACGTACCCGCTATCATGGTGACACCCATCTGCCCACACTCACTGTCCTTCCGGCCCATCGTGGTACCTGCTGGCGTGGAACTCATGGTGAGACAGTACATGTGTGTTTTGAGGCTGCTGCGGGTTTATTAATGTAGCTGAGAAACATGCAGTGTTTTGTTTTTGCAGATAACTTTGTCCCCAGATGCCCGAAACACAGTCTGGGTTTCCTTTGATGGCAGGAAGAGACAGGAAATCCGGCATGGAAATAGGTACTTATCCGGTACTTCTACTCAGTACCAGTCCTAGCCCATGTGGGGTCCGAGGCAGCAGCCGATGTCGCCTGTAGGAATGGCCGGCCCAGTTTGTAGTACACTGCAACAGCTTAGACTCGAACCTGCAGCTGTTCCCACTGGCTTCCTGTTACATGTTCTCATTCCTTGAAAATTCCTCACCCTTGCAGCATTAAGATAACAACGTCCTGCTATCCCGTTCCGTCGATCTGCTGCCACGATCTGGTGTACGACTGGTTCGAGAGCCTGGCCGAGTGTCTGCACTGGAACGTCCGCAAGAAGCAAGCCCAGCTGATCGACGTCACGGATGACTCCGATACAGAGAACTGAGCCCCGCCCCCACTCCAACACTAGCTTGCCTGCCTAGCCATCTACCGAGAACAAAAAGGTACCAGATCAGCTTGTTGGTGAGTGTTACCTCAATCTCGTAACGGTCCAAGTGAGGCCGACTGAGCAGGACCATTGCGGTCACTTTCAAAGTGTTGTTCCCAGGGTTCATTGCCGTTAAAATTTAAACCCAAAACAAAAACTGTTCATGGCTACAATAAACATGTGCGTGTAAATAATAAAGATGAGATGTTTACACCGATGTTTGGGTGCGACTGAAGTCTTGATCAGATATGACTCCAACATCTACTTCCACACTCATTTAACTCAACCTGTTAATGAATATTAGCATGAGCCGGATCAATAAAAAAACACACACCATCTGCTTGCTATACATTTATTGCAATGAAAAGATACAGATATACTTTCAAGATAGACAATTATTTAAATTATATTCCAGTAACCTCAAAAGACCATCCTCGATTTTATATCAATCCAAATATGGACAACCTAAATGTCTGCAGAAGTTTGGATTGGATACAGGTTAAGGTGTATACCTTTCATACATGGATAAGCAGCTATATTTTACAATATACTGATAATGTGCGACACTCAAATACAATTTGAGATTTTAAAACTAACTGCCAAAGCCTACGATACAGCTACTGGCACCTTTCTCTCAGAAAGACTAGCAGTGACCAGGGGAGACAGAGAATGCAGTTATCCGGTCGGAACAGATGAAGAAGCAGGCCAAGCGATAGTCATGGCAGAAAACAGCACTGTTACCGTGACGACAGAACGATGACAGGCTGGTTGGTCCTTCCTCTTAGTGGCAGATGAGTGAGAGACAATCTCCCAGTTTATGGTTTATCACGGTGGCCTAGGGATGCAATGAACCTGGCGGCGAGCGTGTTGTTTCTGTGGTGCAGTATTTCAATCAAATCCTGTGCTACAAGATAAAGGGAAAGGATACGAGGTGGTGCAGGCCAAACGCTTTTCTAGCAAAGTGACTCGCTCCATACTGTCAGCCAACATGATCAGAATGAAATGTTAAAGTTTACCTATGTACTTCAGGTGACTTGTATATTAAAAAAAAAACACTTAAGAATGTAGCTACATAGATACAAGACTAAATTATAAATCCAAATTATATTCATACATGATTTTTTTAAATGTCAATTCCCTTTAGTAAACTCACCAATGGCCAAGAGATTACTGCGAAAGGAACTTCAGGGGAAAAAATGAGCAACGTTACAGGGTAGTTCTGTACTCTTGAAATGGTTAGGATTTATTAACGTTGACGTATTGTCAAACCTTGCATAAAAACGATGTACTCACAGGTTTTTTTTTTCTTCTTTTTCGCTTTAAATCACTAACACTATGATGCAGGAGTCCCTTAAAATATAGTAGCCACGAAAAACAACGCTAAACGTACAAACAGGACAATACTGGAGCATAATCCTCAGAAGCAGGTTCCCTTGCAAGTGGGTTAGTTCACGTCGTGTCGCGCTCAGGCTGTCTGACCTCGTGGCGTCAGACTCCCAAACCGCACAGGTACAGCCGGCAATAACTTAACAGCAACGGCTCACAGATGGGCTACACTGACACCTAGAGGAGATCACAAGTCTTGCATCACAAAATCTGCCCACTTGTAACACAGAAATATTAGGGATCTCAGCTCGGTTTTCCCTTGACTTCAGTTTAAGAAATTGATGACTAACAGTGATTTTTAAAACCAAGTTCTACTTACAATAAATGTAATTACTCAACTGTGTGAAAACAGCAATTTGTACCTTGTAAAAACCATCTGTTTGGCACAAAGTTAACATATATATGCCATTATGCGTGTGCTCCAACACTGGAAAAAGAGGCATTCAATTTTACCCAACTAGAGCACACCCATCTTTCTGAAAAGCCTTCTGGACAGAAAGGCAGCAGGGGTCAGGGGTCAGAGGTCAGAAGTCGTACACATTTCTAATTATTCTCCCACAACCCACTCTGAAGACAGGTGTACCTATAACGAAGCATGGAAACACGGAATTCTTAAACATTCATGCAGGCTCATCAGCAATACAGGAAAGAAAGGACTGCGATCCGTTAAACGATCGCCCTTAACCACGTATTACCCTCAGGGATCACGTAGATTTTGGTCCTCCCAAATTACCTTCCTAGAGAGTTTTTTCTGTAGTCCAGGTTTAGTGTGAAGCTCACACATTTAACGGGTTAACAAAAGCACGGACTGCAAAGATAGCCCCACCCATCACCATAACCATGGTCCTTGACACCTGCAGCATCTGCACCCCTAAAATCTCATACAGAACCAAGATGACCCGTGCAACAAGGAAAACCACCAATTATCAGGTAATTGCCTTAAGGTGGGTTAAAAACAGATTCTTAAAACAGGAACTGTTCCTGAACCCAGAAATCAGGGGGGAGGGAATAAAACTGAACGAAAGTTTTCTAGTTTTTTTATACAATGGGAGAGAAACTTAGAGCCTCAGTGTTTTTAGTAAGAGAATTTGCCTTTGCCCCAAATGACAATTAGGATCCCCATTTGCATTCTTTGTGGAAAATCTCAACCGAAACGAAAACGAGTGCCTCTCTTCTGCAAGGTAGAAGTATGAGTCCTGGTAGAGTGTAGGAGTTTTTTAGATGTTTATGTTTCACCCGACAAGGGCTTTGCCTCACTCTCTTCTGCCTCCTCCTCCTCCTCGTACTCTCCCTCGTCTTCCTCCTCTTCCTCCGTGTGCTGTTCCAGCTCCTCCCTGGTGATCATTTCAAAGTCGTTGCCGTTGCTGTGTTGCGATCCCTCGTCCTCACGCCGATCACTGTCCGTGTCCCCGCCCTGGCCCTCGCCCCCCGAACCCTCCCCCGCCGCCTTAGTTTCCTCCCCATCATCCTCCTCCTCCTCTTCCTCGTCCCCGTTGCCGTCTTTCTTCTCGCCGTCTGACCTCTCTTCGCTGTCTGATTTCTCCTTGGCCGCGGGCTCCAGTGCCTCCGCCTTGGCCTTCTCCGAGGCGGCCTCCGAGGCGGCCTTCTTGCCATCGGCCCGTGGGCCCTTGTACTCGTGCGTGTAGAGCGGCCTAAAGGAATCTATGAAGCCCACATCTGCCGTAAGGTTCGGCAGGAACCAGAAGTGATGCCGCCCTCCGGTGACCACCCAGATGATCAGGAACAAGATGCAGCGAGCTGAGGACAGAGGGCGGAGGTGGGTAAACACACAGCTGGGCAGCGCCAGACTACGACCTCCTGGGTTTTAACAGCTATGAAGATGCACAATTATTAAATACAGAAAATACGAAGACACTAAAGCTGTGACTATACAAGAGCCAACGTCATGTGCGAACATGCAGGTACACCTCGCCATGAGAACACGCAGGACACACCAAACGTCGCATTAAACACTTCACCTCAGGCGCATCACCCGTCACAACCCAAAAGAAAACAAGGTATTTTCACCCAACCAGGGTGACAGTTTGAAAACCACGTGCAGTGAGAGCGTCCCTGGACGGGACACCTACCCACGGCTAGCAGAAGGATGCTGGCGACGAAGCAGCCGGCCGCCACGCTCAGGTAATACACAGCAACGCGCATCTCTGTGGGCCAGAGCGGGAAGAGGGTGGCCGCGATGACGGCGATGACTGCATGAGAGAGAGAAGGCACCCACAATGGGGATTTTCCAATAAAGACTTCAGCTAAACGGTATTTATAGCATTATTCCGTAGATCAGAGTGTGACATAATTAAACAGTTCAATTTCCTTGTCTGAAAACACTCACCTAGAATGAGTCCCATAGCAAATGTCTTGAAATGTACTGGGTCATAAATCCAAACATACACCTGTAAGTAGGACAGAAGACAAAGAACCAAACAAATGATTACGACTTGGAATAAACACCAACACTAACAACTGTGCATTCAGCTCAAACCTCTCTCAGCCACACCCCTCCCCAAAACAGCTGTAATTCTCCACACCTCATCTGACTTTTGTGTTCTCGGTTAACGTAACTGTCACACAACCCGTCATATTTTAAAATATTATGTTGAATAAAATAAGATTATACTGATATGTTTGAAAATGTGGCTTGCGTTAGTCATATCAATATGCAATAATTAACTGTAAATGTATTCACTTTTTTAACAACTGTACCTGGATGCATGACTGGTTCTGCTCTAGATCTGCCGATACTACAGGGCAAGCGTCCACTAACCAGGATCTACAACATCAGCCAAAACTTAATTGCTAAATAGTGAAATGTATTGGTAAGATGTTCTGATCCACTGTGGTGAGTTCCCCTGATGGCTATACATGTACAGAAGCAGTTGCGGTGGATCACACGTTCAGCATCAGCGCCCGTGGCCCTGACAGGGCCCAAATCTGCCCCCCCCCCCAGCCTCACTGACCTCGTTCCCATCCAAGAACACCTGGTCCTCATGGGGCTCCAGCTTGAACTTCTTCTTCGTGTCCTTCTTCTTCTTGGGAGTCCCAGGGCTCTCCTCCTACACGGATGGACAAAAGGACACGTGAGCTGAGGCCTTTCCTGGTGTGCAGAGAACATATCTCACCAGCAGGTGTCACTCTAACCCCAAGCCACCAGCACAAAGGCTTAACGTGGAAGCGACACAAAAAGAAATAAAACGTGTACTGTGCCCTTTACACTGCTTATCTCCATTTTAAGCAACATATTAACCATCAGTCCATCCATCCATGGGGTAGTGCCATCTCTGAGGCTGCGGCTCTGTGCCAGCAATTGGAAGGTTGCTGGTTTGAATTTCATGAATGCCAGGAGGGATCCTACTCTGCTGGGCACCTGACCTAAGCCCTTAACCTGCAACTGCTTCATCCTGGGTATGACAATCTACATCCAGCCCTGCAAGCAGGTCCTCCAACTTACAGGAAAATGTGGGGGTTGGTGGCAGGGATTGGCACTGCAGCCACTGGAAAACACTGCAAAGTAGTGTGGTGCTGGTGTATCACCCACTGCATGGCTGCACTCTCATCCCTGAGGTGGTCTGTTACGTGGTGGGTGTGGCAACGCGCTGTCATCAGCAAACGCTCCTTACCTCCCTCCGTTCCCTCATCCATCCATCCATCCACTCACTCACCCTGGTTTGAGTGGCGTATCCCAGGCAACACAAGGCAGGATGTATCTATAGATAATAATGACCATCTTCTGCAAACCAGGATGAATCAGACAAACACTACATACCGTCTTCTCCTTTTTCGAATCTGCCACCTCAGACTCCTTCTTCTTCTCCTTTTTGCCCCTTTTATCCTCCTCCTTTCCGCTCTCGGTCTTGGCCTTCTCCCTCTCCTTCTCCTTCTCCTTATCTTTCTCCTTATCCTTCTCTTTCTCCTTCTCCTTCTCCTTCTTGGTATCCTTCTCAGGCTTCTTCTTCATCACCTTCAGGGCCCGGTGGAAAAACTGCTTTTTCAGGAGCCTGCGATGAAAACCAGTGAAGTTTTCAGTCAGTTTTCAGTCTATTAAATTCCTGCTGTCTGGCAAGAACAAACGGGAACCAACGACTGCACCGGTGTGTCTTTTAGGAAAACCAAGTTTAATAAGCCACGCTTCTAGCGAAAAGACGGAAGCTCCCCTTTCTACATACAGCCAGCTGGCGCTTTCATACATTTTTTTTCTGCAGACAAGCTGCACACAGTGCGGCAAACAGTGACGTGCATCACAAACAAATGCAGATGTGGTACCGTTGATTTTAATCTCTAACAATATATAGAGCTTCGTATCGCAACGTTTTCACCACAGACCCTTCCTGTTTCGACTCCCTGACTCCATTGAAACTCCCTGCTATTCATATACACAGCAGCTGGCTAAGTGCTCTTAGTGATTTAAATCACCGTGCTTTGGTGCTTTTTCGTGTTACTAGGCAACAGAGAAGCAAGAGTCACCCCTCTAACCTTTAACCCGCATTTGTATATATGCATCCGCCATTTATGGGCAGGATGTTTTTTTACATTCTACGCAGGACACAGGTGACTCGCCTGGGGAGGGGTTAGCCAGAGGGGCGAGCCCACCTGTTGCAGTAGTCGACCACAGATTCCCTGGTGGTGAAGATGGCGTCCTCCCCTTTCTTGGATTTGGCCCACTTGGAGTCCATGAGACAGTCCACCGCTTTGGAGGCTGTGGGTCACATCAAAATGGGGGGGGGGCAGGGGAGGAAGAGATGTTTGGCCTTTTCCTATAAAAGGACCTCAGCACTGAACAGCTTGAGAAAACTGGTCTTAATCTTCATTATCACAGGATCTCGTTGGCCTTCATCCCGTAGCTGATTCAGGAATTAACCCAGCCCACGTTCAGCAAAAGGGAAAGCAGGAATTGAACTTAGAACCATATGGTTTGGGTACAAAACCAAGCACAGACCCTCTCCTTACATGCCTGAATCAAGCAAAGCTATCATTTATTTGCTGTTTGCACAAATACCAGTGCGGCTACATTGGAATGCTTCTTCTGGCATGTCTCATCTAATTCTCCTCTGAGGCATGTTCACAAGCATTAAGAGCTGAGAATGAAGTTTGGGGTCCATTGACAGGGTCAGGCCATTTATCCACCCCTTGGAGCATTTTGGGGGTTTAGGGCCTTGCCCAAGGGCCCAACTGTGATTAATCGGCAAAGGCCAAAGCTCGAACTGGTGGTCTCCTGATCACAGACAGAGACTTAACTTGCTGAGGCACACCAGTCCACAAAGAACATACTGCCCAAATGGAGACTTGAATCCTGGTCCCAGAGATACGAGGCAACAGTGCCAACCACTGGGATCGCCAAGCCACCCATGAGGCCAAACGAGGCCCCCAAAAGACCCTGCTGTCTGAACACACGAAAAGGCTCCAAGCTGTGCAGCAAGACCAACCCCTAATTCCCTCAGAGTCACCTAAATGTAAAAGAAGCCACACAAATGTATCTGGACAGGACACTAGCTGAGCGAAACACACAGCTCAGAGATACGGAAAGTGCTATTTAAGCGACGCCAAAATGCCACACGACATCATAGCAAGCAGGAAACGAGTGCCAGGCGGCGCGGACCACGCACCGATGAAGTACTCCACCCGGTGTCCCATCATGTTGGTGGACTTGGTGGAGCAGTTAAAGCGCAGATACTTGGCCACCGCCTTCTCCTCCTTGGTGGGCTCACCGACCTCCTGCGGGGGGACAGACACACATACCCAGGAATTAATGCTTCAAGGTATATCACCCCAGGATCTGGCAGCAGTTCACATGAAAACACGGCTGCCGGGGGGGGGGGGGGGGTCGATCCTGTGCAAGATGAAACCCGTCTACAGAAAGCCCTGAAGGATAATGAGGACTTCAAAGAATGTGTCATGTAAAGGCTTTGACCCCCCCCCCCCCCCCCCCCCCCACACACACACACACACACCCTTGCAATATACCAATCACACAGAAATTAAATATGCAGGGAAGCACGGCACTTCAAAAATGATTCATACAATTAATCACGACACTTAAAAAAAACGCTCCAACTCACCGCAAAGACAAGCACTGCACGTCCAAAAACTCAGAGGCAATAAAACACTGAGAAAAGTGTAAACCGTAAGAATGGACTCCACAAAATAGGTATAGGTGAAGTGGTGATGGTTAGGATGGACTATTTAGCGACATAGCTACATAACCTGACGTTTGCCGCGTTTTTCTGGCGTTTAACCTCATTCCATAATAATTTATGGTGTATTTATATAAATTACTTATATCTTTGTAAAAGAATATGTGTGTGATGGGTGGTGGAGCTACCGTCCACATCTCTCTATCCATCAAAATGGGGCCTTGTTCCTCGCCTGTGTCTCTTCTCAACCCTGAAACCGAGTTTCGTTTCTCGCTGTCCCCAGTGAGCCCATCAGAAGCGGCCCGTGACACTTACAGCGATGGCGTTGCCACACCTCTCCCATCACATCAGTTCAGCGTCTGTTCACCACAGTCAGTAATGAGACTCGTATCCAACAGGAGAAGAGAAACCACCATAGCACAAGTTGAGTGGCCACCTCCAATCACCTTGCATGGAGGTCAAACAGCAAAGCCGCATTCGAAAAAATCTAATACTACAGAAAATTAGATATGTTTATACCTCTCCTGTACAGCTGCACCATAAATCCTCTTATTTAGATCTGTTCCTACTTATCTTATTACATCTGAATGACCAAACATATCGTACAGTATATGCAAAAGCACTTTCCAAACCCAGTCTTATCTGACTCGTAACAAAATTACACAACTGTAAATCACCCACCAGTTCTCCTGTCAATGGGCAGAACATTTGTTTCAAACTGGTGATTTTTTCCTGACAATTTTATCCAAAGCTTAGCTTTTAGCTGGATAATTTACTGAAGCAAGTCCGGTCAAGATGACTTGCTGGAACTTCTGCCTCTGCCAAACATCGCTACGAGGCTTCCTGTGAGATAAACAACAGTTTACACATTAGCTTCAGGCATTTCTGAACATTGGACCGCTGGTATTTGACAACACATGGTCACACGGACCAACTGCAAAGCTGGCCACAGTCAGCAGCTCCAGTAAACATCACCCTGTTCCTTATTCCAAGCTGCCTGGATACATCAGCCTTGCTAATGCATCATGACGAAAGCTACAGCTTCCTGAAATGCCTGATATTGATGAAATGACACAAACAGTGGCAAAAAAGAGAGACGGAAGGTCAGCAGTCCTCAGGATGATATTCCTGCCTCGGCTAAAATGTCACCAAGAATGACTGAAGGCTCATTGTTCCTAACCCCCACCCCCCGGAAAAAAATGCCATGTTTTCCTTATAGTGTTTCTGCATTTGTCTACCTGTCAGCTTCTCAGCTGGGGAAGTCAGCACTACACACATCAGTTACACAGCACCAAATTGTCTTATAACCATTCAATTTACTTTCCAATAAGTGGTTGTTGCAAGTAGCTGTATTTCAGCAGTATGTCTGTACTGCACCTAAACGATTTTAAAAATACATAACTTTGTAATTTATGACTAATTCCAGCCACTCCTTAAGAATATATACCAGAACTTTGGGCCACAAATATCATCTATAACCAAAAATTCAATGTATCTCAATGGAAGGCAATCATTAAATGCATACCTCAAAATGCACAAAAACACTAAATATCTTCGCAAAATTCTCTCATTAGCGTGCACCTTAGAATCACCTAAAACGCAACTACACAGTCCCTGGCTATAGGGTCGGTTTTAAATCGAGCTCGCAGTGTTCAGATCTGTAACTCCTGTCAGCATCGGTTGGTTAAAGCTGGATGATCCCTGCTAAATAGCATGTCAGATCTATTGAGGAGTCAGCCTGGTCCAAACATTTCGTCTGATCACACACGCCGCCTATATAATACAAGACAGTCTGAGCGCTTTCTCGTTAGAATGAACCGGCAGTTGTCAAGCCAGCATCTTTGAGCTTGAAAACATCAAGACGCCTTTTAAATAGGCAAAAATTCGCATACATTCAAATAAAGGTAGAGTCACTATCTTCTAAAACACAAAATTAAAAAAGCAGAGGGGCGTGGAAGAGCGTTTCATCCTTATGTTTATCGACTGCACTACATACAAAGATGCAACGTGTAGATGTTTTTCCACATGAAACGGACCTGATGTTTGGATTTGACATTGATTATAGTTTAGATATATAACTAACGAAAAAGTATATCCACTGTAATATGTGAAACCTGCAAATTAGGGTTCAGCCACATATTTTCTGGCGGAGAGACACGCATGCAGGCTGGAGATTAACCAGCCGAAAGTACTGGGCGATGGCGAGCGAAAGGGAGTGCCGCCTCTACCACCTGGACCAGCGGTCTGGGAAACTGACGGACGGGTGTACGGGAAGATCCACATGCGTCAAAATCAGTTTATCACTGCCGTCTGGAGCTTTACTGCAACAAATCACTGGCGCTGTTCTACATGGGTAACACAAGGTACCGGAGAACCAGCGAACTGTCATTATATTCTCTAAATAGAACAAATGAAACAACATTTCATAGCGCTTCACGATACCGGCAAGTTATGGGGAGAAATGCAAGTTCTGCCCACCAGTAGTAGCAGCTGTTTAAGACCCCCGCGACAGAACTGTCACCTCAAAAACACAACTATGAGATGCTTCTCGAAGCAAGTTTACGAAGTTACTGTTTAACGTGAGAGGATAACTTCTGAAGTTCACAAAAAAGCCAGCTAGTCCGTAGCCAGCTAGCTATTCACTTCCTGCAGGTGAAAAAACGTTCCGACCAGCCCAGCGAGCACTGCCTGTCCTCTCAACATCCGTCGCTCGCCTCTTCCGAGAAATTCATGAAACGTTAACAGCGGCGGAGCGCAGCGTGGGGGCCCCTCACACCGGCACGACGCCGGCCTCGCACAGGACAGAAGCGCAGCCGAGCCGCCTCGACGGCTTTTCCTTCGAATACCTGGATTCGTTTCTTGTGCCTCCTGCGCTCCGCCATGTTGATCCAGCTCCGTGTCAGTGTGACGTGGAAACAACGCGAGAAAGAGACAGAGGACGAGAACGTGACGTCACGAAAACGACAGCCCACGACACCCCTGGGGTAGCGACTCAAATACGTGTTATAGTAATTATAGAAATTTTGTATTGACTTTACCATCTTGAGTGTTAACTTTCATTATTATGTATATAAACTTAAATACAAATGTTTAATAAACCAACGAGGTGCATAAAGCTGTAATTGTTATGAAATTGTTCTTTCCGTATTATCCGTCTTTTCCATAAGTGCGGATCCATTGCAAGAATGCGCCTGTCCCATGACGTGCAGGGTACGCCCTGGATAGGGCGAGCTGTTATCGTTTGGACAGGTCCTAACCGATGTTGCGGCCTATCGGCGCCCTCTCAGGATTTGGCGCCCTAGGCGGTCGCCTATAAGATTGACCGGCCCTGGTTATCGCCAATTTATTACTGTTCTGTTACCGTACCATATGCGGTTATATTCTCCACTACTGGACGACGTGACCAAAAATACCATATACCACATATTACAAAAGAATTGATTAATACTTTAGATTACCAAAATTATTTCTTTCGAATTCTTAACTTATGGCAGTACTGTACCTTAAAAACGGCTACACCCATATTTACATTATAGATACTTAGGTTCTTTAAAGTTACAAAAATATTAGTACAATTCTAAGCCATTGCATCCGTTTTTATGAGCCAGTGTTTTCAGGTAATTAACAATTACAGGAAGATAATTACATCCCTATTGTAATTGAATGAACTGACTGACCATTTTTACAAGTACTCAAAAACACAGAATTCGAGATTACTTCATGATAAAGGTACAGAACAGTCCTGGGAAACTATTTACAAACAATTACAGATAAGTCATGTTACAAACATAGTATGCTTATACAATGCATCCAACTGGTGCTTTCATCCTGGAATGGAAAAATACTGCTTCTGAGTTTTTCAGTAAACACTTTATGCTGCTGGAGGTTGGTGTTGACCAATCAAAGGGCTCACACTCCGCCATTCATATAAGACATGAACCTGTGCTCATGTTTGGAGCTGTATTGCCTACGTAACACATTACAACTGAATTTGCATCAGTTGTATTGAACTATTGACTTGTGGTGGAGCTTAATAATAAAGTAGAATGTAACACAAAGGGACACTGGCATGTTTCTTAGTAGGGTTTTTTTTTCCCTGTTGACTCCTTATGGTTTCAGACATTCTCATTCAAAACAGGGGGAGGGGGATTTTCTGGCCCCAGCATGGACTCCTGGGGCTTGACACTCTCCAAGTCCCTGGGGCAGGGGCTTCCCAGCATGTCCATGCTGTTGCAGTTCAGCGGGGGACTGATCTCAGCGGACTGATCTCCTGTCTTCTCTGATGCGGCTTGCAGGGCGGCACCAGCAGTGAGCGGCAGGTTCATCGCATAGAACATACTGCCCAACCGGCGAGACACCTGCAGATGGGGGTGAATAAAAACAGTGCAATTCATGGGAAAAATAAGTATTCTGTTTTCAGCTGTATGAATTAATATAATTATATAATACTTTATGGGGTATAGCTATGGATAAACACAGAGTTCCAGAGATGTTTAAAATGACTTTCTGCTCAAACCTGAGATCGTATCTTAAGGGCAGGTCCAAGCTTCAAGCCCATGGTATCTAAGAGGTGGTCCTCTGTGAGTAGTGGCAGTGTCTCTCCGTCAATCATGTGGTCCTTGAATGTCTGTGGAGAACAACTATGTTACTGTGAAAATTGCCTTACTAGGAAACCCGTGGTGAAGGCCTTTTTTGTTTGCAGCCAGAAAGGTTGACTCAAGCACAAACCTGAGCATACTCTGAGCAGCTGGGTATGTTGCTGATGAAACTGTAAACATCATCCACTGTCCACTTTCGAAGATCCTCAACTGACGACATTACTTCACTGTTGAGAAAACTATGAGGTCCTGATTAAGAAAGGGAAAAATGTTGATAATTCCCCAAGGACCGGATTGGGAAATACTGCTATGCGGGGTCATGGTGAGTGCACAACAGGGCACAATGCAGGGGAAGACCTTAGGCAGGATGCCATGTTAGACTAGCGCATATTAAATTAGTCAGGATTATGCTTGTAGTGCGACATTTATGTCTAAATGGGAGGGATAATTAGTTATATCGAGTGCACGTGGTATCAGGTAAGTTGCGAGTTTTGAGGGGTCCTGTCGACTCACCAGGGGGTAAAAATCCGTTGCTTGATATTGGAAATATGTAAGACATATTAGTGAGGGGTGCAGAGGTGGAAGGGTAGACAAACTTCTCATGGAATGCTGAGCCAGTGCTGGGGTCGTCCTTCTCGTTAGCGCTGGTTCTGGAGTCTGTAGTGTCTGCGCAGCCCTCCTGACTAATGTTGCAGTTCTTGCGTGGCCCTTGTTTACACTCTTTGTAGTTCTTTCCACTGCCAGAGGAAAGTTCTGTGTCTATTTTCACATGGTCTGGTTTGCTCACTGACTCGTTCTCTGGCTCTCCTTTTGATTCACCCTCCTTTTCCTCCGCTGATCCACCTGGACTTTGGTCCACGCCCTTATCATCTGATTGGCCCTTGGCTCCAGTAGCGTTTGCATCCATCATCTTGTGATTTGCTGCCCTCCTGCTGCTCCTCCTCCCTCTTTCTCTCTGCAGTGTGCTGATTGGTGGATATGGGCTTGCAGACATCAGCAGACTGTTGGCCTGCAAGTCCTCCAGTGTGGTGCGATGGACAAAGACATCACTGGGGAGGTGGCCCTCGGGAATCCGCTGACGTCCGCGAAAGGCCATGGCATTCGGGGGAATCCCCTGGTAAATCATGGGGGGCTCCATACCCATAAGCCCTTTCTGGTGGGCGGTTTCCAGCTCTTTCTGATGCAGGATGGCGTTCATCTCCATTCTTGATATGGAACAATGACATGTTATAGCATTACTAGATACAGCTTAGTGAAACAGGATAGATTGATACTGGAGTTGAAAACAGACATTAGCCAATGTTACCAAGAAACAGTTAAGTGGAATGAAACATGCTATTGTAATAGGAACAGAAGAAATACTGGGAATGGTCAGGAAGCAGATGTGCCTCATCATTTGGACAAATATCATATTCTGTCATTTATAAAGTAACCATATGTGTGTGAACATATCCAAGCCTGATACCTGGCTATATTCTGCTTGTGAATCATCTCCTGTCGCCGGGCAACTGTTTCCAAGGGTTCCGAAGGTAGAAAACCATACCCAGCTGACAGGCCTTACATGCAGAAAGACACACAAACACGCATAAAAAGAAGCAGACAAGAGATAGCAATAGATGATCATATTAAAGGCTGTAGTCCCAGCATGTATATAATAGCATGTTGATTCTCTGAGATGATGTCACCTGTATCAAACACAGATGCCTGACAGAATGGTCTGTAGTTATGATTAGTGCTGGTCCATCATACCTACCTGTTCCGGGGAATGACCTTGCCGGCACAACATTAGAGTGTGAGGGCAGAGATGGGCCCAGGTTGGGCCGCATGTGGATCTGCCTGGCCTCAGAAGACACCATCTCTGTAGAGGACACCAGCTCCCTGCCGGGAAACAGGAAGACAACTCAGAGAACTGTGATACATAGTAATGAATATTACATTTAAAAGCCCCCCCCCCCCCCACACACACACACACTCAATAGTGAATCAGAAAGGTATGAAGGTGCGATGGTATCTGACAGGAAGCATGAATGCAGAAGGGTAACAGGATTCTGTCTCCAGCCCACGCTGCCTGCTTCCCGTACACAAGCTACAGCCCAGTGCCTCACATCTATTACTATGGGAAGGGGATTCGACCAACAGGACATAGCAGGGAGGGGCACAGGTTCCGGAATCCTCTTTGGTCGACACAGGAACCAACATCATCTGCCTAAAATCAGCATGCTATAAAAGCACATTTTTGGCCAGATGTGGAATGTTGGATTGTAAAGGTGTAAACATTTCATCTTATTTCATTTATACCAAACGTGGGTGGTATCAAAGTAGCGGAATGAATGTGTAAATATCTAAGGCAGAGAGCTGCTGTGCTTTTTGGGGTGAGCTTACCGGTCCATGAAACGGGACTCGAACTGCCCTGGGGCAGCCTGCAGACGCTGCTGGGTCTGGGTGAGAAGCTGGGGGCTCATAGCCATCTGATTTCTCATCATCAGCTCCTGCCTCTGCCGCAGCTCTGCGGAACGGGTAACAGACAGGGCGCGGTGTGTCACAGCAAATGGATGCCCTTGGCCTTCCTGGATAGCTGGCACCCCCTGCTGGTGGTGGGCCTGAAGGGCACTCAGGAGCCACAAGTGCAGCTCATGATGGAGTTCAAGATTCAAACACTGGATGTTGATGTTGAGCTCCCTCATCTGTATATCCATAGTTACATCAGCTGTAGCAGGGACGGTTCTGGGGGGGCGGGCTTGCTCCCATGACAATATGCATTCCCCTCCCCCCCCCCCCACCGTGGCCCCCCTAAATACATATGCTACTTGGGTCTGAAATAAATTTAATATTATTACTATTATTGTGATTTACAATTATACATGTGGCTAAAACTGTGCGCTGGGAAGCTGGCGAAACACAAACGTAAACACATTTTCGTGACGGACTCATAACTGCGCCCCGCGGTCGAGTCGCTTCGGTTGGTGAAAAACAAAGTTAACGACAGAAAAAATAATCAAGCTTGTGGAAACGGTCTAAACAAGAAATCAGAGTGAGTAACATATTTGTAACAAACTGTAAAATGTGACTGCAATTCATTGTATAAATAACATCGGTTTTCAAAATTAGATGGATGGATGGATGGATGGATGATAGGCAGACAGATAGCCCTTACCCCCCCCGGACATGCCGTTGACCACCCGGTACCACTGCTTCTCGTCCAGACTGCTTGGCTCCCCCAGCCCAGTCATCTTCCTCAGGTGCTCCCGTGGGGTCATGACGCCCTCTGGCTGACAGGTGGCGCCCTACCGTCCCTTTGTAATGGACAGTGGGTGCAACGGTTAATCACCCGGAACGTCACCTGAACCTGAAGTCCGAATCTCACCGGCAGTGCTACGGTCCTGAAGCGGAGTTTTCCTAACAAGTTATAAGTTGTATTAAAGCGTAAAGCTTATAAGCCACTTAATGACACTGACACTTATCTGCTCACAGAATACTGACAATGTAAGGAAATACATTAGATGTTTTCCACCCACTGTTGTGAAACACTAGTGCTCCCTTTTCATTGACTGGAATTGCAATGATTCTACAATATAGTCATAGATTGTAAACGATCAGTTTAACAAAATACAATAATGATAGTCACTGATACGTAATAATAACCCACGATGAATGGTTCTAGTAAAGTGCATTCAGAGGAAAACATTGTTTGCGCGAAATTGTTCATAACGCAGAAAACACTTATATCTGCTGTCAGGCACAGCAAAACCTCACACGTGGTGAAGTGAACAAGTATCAGCAAGTGTTTTCTGCTAACTTGTGTAAAAAAAAAAACATGATGACTTTCACGCTACAGAAAGAGCCTACAGATATTTTTAAAACCATAATAGAAGCGAAAACAATGTCTTGCGGTTTCATAGAAAAAACGGACAGGTTTCAGGTATGCGTAATGTTTGCAGCCGGCGTCCTGTTATCTGTGCGATGAGGTTTTCACAGCGCGGGGGTCTCTTGGAAATCACCTTGTAAAGCGTCGTAACCCACATAGACAAAGGCTGAGTTTCACTCCACAGACATGCATTTCAACCCCCCAAAAAAGTGCTTTTATGTACGTTGTGTTCATCGGAGAGCATGTCCCAGTTTTCTGTGCGGCTAAAGTGTTTTGGGCATTGCAGGGAGTAGAAAGATGAATGATGCTATACGAATCCTTACAGCAGCGGCGACGCGTCTTATAATAAGAATATTGTATTGTTAACAATGCGGAAGGTATGAAGGAAGTAGGAGTTCGCTCAGATGTGGATGCCACCATACCTTTTGATCTTAAAACGTTGTTTGGTACTCTTCCTCCTCTGTTCCAATATGTCTGAAGTACAGACTGGGGGAGTAAAGGTACAAAATGAACCAGGGATCACCAGGAAAGGGAGGAATATGGGGAAGAGAACAGTTGAGTGGGGAAGGAGAGAAAGGATAAATAAAAGCCATTTCGTCTGGGTTGGGCACCGGGGTTTGCAGAGATGAAACAAGTTGCACCTTCCCACACAGGAACACGGAGGCCCCGGGGGCGGAAAGTCCCAGGTTCAGAACCTTCGAAGCGTCTTCTGTGGAAAAAGTGAGCGCCGACGGGTGCGTTTGGCGAAGGACCACAGCGACAGCCTCACCTCGGGTTAAGGCGACCCAGATATCACCATGCTACACCTAAGGTACCTGTGTGGGCGTGGTGAGCGCTCCCGGGTCAGCGAGAACCCAGTGACTATCTCTGGCCCTCTGGTATTGGGACCGTGCGTATTTAGCTTGTGGTTGGTAAGTCACACCTCTCCAGGGTATTTATCGAAGTTGAAATCAGTGATAGGGTCGTTCTCATAGGATTGCCGTCATTTAAAAAACAAGATTTGCATACAAGGCCTCTCAGTTACAAACCAATAGTGTGGTTTTGAGTGATGGAGAATTTCACATGTCGAAATTGGGAGTGGTAGATTTCGTACGAAACATGAAACAAAGTTACATTACATTAGCACCACCTGCAAAATTAGCATTTACCCAGTGGTGTGTGGTATGCGGATGGGGAATCCGACTCCCTGCATCACTCTGGATGAGTCAATTTCTGTGCAATTATATGCCACATCTCAACAAAACCACATTTCATGCCTGTGTCATTCAATAACTCTTCACAAAATTCACGTTATGCATAAAGACCCATTATTAAAAGAGGATGGCATGCAGGACACTGTTACTAATTGAACTGATGAGATTAAACACTGGTTTTCGATGTTATCCACAGTTAGCGTCCTGCTCCCTTTAAAGAATTAGACGATTAGGATACGTTATGGCCAGTGACATCATACTTAGCACTGTTTATGGTTCGGCAAGCAGCGGTAAATCAGAATCAGCTCAGATGCTGGCTGGTCTACTGTTTACACAATGAGCGGCTAACCTGTTACCCAGTTGTGACTGCTGGCAGTAAACATGCTGGTCATGTGACCTGCTTGTTGCTAAGGAGGGGGGCAAACTGTGAGTGTGCTTGCTTGTGAGGAAGTTAATTAAAGGCTATTTGGATGCTGACAACTTAAGGTTAATCGAGTGATCCTGCGCGGCTTGCCGTTTCAGCTGCCCTACAGTTCCCTCCGAAAGCCCGACTAATCTGGGTCCCCTAATTCCATCCTCAAGTCCGCGTCTGCCAGGGACATCTGTTGACCCCACGTGTAGTCCCGTTGTCCGTCACCCCCAGCCCATATCTGTGCATGCTCTTCTCCCAAAATCCTATTAGCTAAGTCCTGGCTATGCAGCACTTTAGAGGGATGTGATAGACTAATTCTGGGCATTGAACGTTTTACCCTCAGCAAACCTTGCCTGTAAGCATCCAGAACAATGCACCCCAAGTGCCAATCCTATTAACCTGCATTAGTCCCCCAAGATGACCTAAAAACACCTTGGATAAATCTTGGACCCAAATGGTTTATTAAAAGATATGGCCCAGGCACCTACCGATTTGTTTACAGTATTTTCTGTCACATGGAGCCATTTAGCAGGTATCAGTCTGGAGGTAATTAAGGACCTGATTGCCCATTAGCTTCATGCATTTGCTAGCATGCTAATTTCTTTGTTCATATAACTGCGATCAGAGGTGGCAATTTCAGGTCCAGAAAGTAAAAATCCAGACCATGATTTACTTTCAACCAACCAGTTGAGCATAAAGAGTCACAGTCACGGAGTACCCAACTGGTTGGTTGAAACAAAATCATGGTCTGGATTTTTACTTTCTACACCTGAAATCACCACGTCTGACTGCGATTGCCGTGGCGATGGCAGTAGAGATGAATAGCCAGTTTCCTAACTGTTTGGTGCACGCAAACTTTATTTTTGGCCCCCAACCCAGACAATAAAGTGATATTCTGATGGAGGTAAGGTACACCACGCCCACTTCATGCAGGCAGTGGGCGGGGCAGCAACATGTCTGCTGATTAATCTGGCAGAGAAAGCCAGGCTTACGTGACCTCAAGGATTCCCCCGTGCCAGGCGGTGCGAGGAGGAGAACGTACACTTATGAATGTTGGTCTGGATGTAAACCATCTACCTCACTCCAAGAGCTGCATGCAAATAAGTACTGATGACCTTCCAGCAGGGGTGCCACAAAGGGGGTAACTTTGGATGATTCCAAGGGCCCCTGAATGATGGGGGCCCTGAAAAAACTGGAAAATAATTGGTTTGGTCTGGGTTGGGGGCCCAAAATCACTAGCAACACCCCTGCGCACCAGGACATAACGTAAACTAGACAGAGGTTAATAAATCACAACTCTATCTGAAAAACTGTCCTCTTGTTCTAAGTGGTTAAATATCCAAAAAAAAAAAACAAGAACACGTTTTTAAAGAATTAATCCCACAATTAGATGAATCTAAAAAGCTGAACACTGTGAAGACTGAGGCACATCTAAGAACTGCGCCTGGATTTTTGGATTTGCTGCTCGATAAATTTATTATCCCAATGGGATTATATAAAATTGCTGACAACAATAAGATAATTGGCAGCTCTTGTGCATCCGCCAAACTAAATCATAAACCTTCCATTGTATTGAATATGTCAAAGCCTAACAGTCCTATAACCCATGATTCTATAAATAAATACATATTAATAAATAATAATAATAATAATAATAATAATATATTGAATAAAAGAAATATTTGTATTAAAAATGTACTTCTGTTCATCATGCAATGTTAGGCCTATGTCATCTTAGTAACACGTGTAATAAGCAGCTCAGTGTCAGAAAGAGGTGAAACAAACGGTTGCACGGCAGCGGAAGTCGCTTGCAGCTCAACAGGCGCTTTTTTTAAAGCAGCAGCATGGGTCACAGATACTATCTCCTGTTCAGGATGACAGAGAGCGAGAGAGATGATGCAGAAAGCAAAGAAGGTAAGGGAAGAGGAACAGAGGGTTCATCACCTAACAAAAGATCAGCCAAAGGACAGTCAGTGGTTTGGTTAAACCAAAAAACACTCACCTGATGTTGGCGAAAAACACAGGTAAACTGGGGCTGGCGAAAGTGACGAAATAATAAGCAGCTCGAACAGGGATCCGGCCTGCGGAGTATCCTCTGCCAACGATGACACCGGTTGCTCGCTAATACTGAAATACTTTCGCTTTGAAATCTGAAGAAGTATTGGTTTGACAGCTTGAAAACCACGCCTGCTGCACGTGTGCCAGTCAGCGGCCGTAGCTTAAAAAAGACCCTTAAATACAGATTCATTTTATCATTATTAGCTGGTTTTATCTCTGGCACTAAGCCCTCCCTTTTCCTGACATCACGCCGATCTCCCATCCAACTGGCTGGGATGTAATTGCAGGAGTTTTGCTTAAGCTAAGCCCCTTTCATCATTTACCTCAGTAATCCCTTGTTAGCGCTTAAGGCTGCGGTAAGACACCTAAATACTCTGCTTCCTTCACTGGTGGCAAAAGGAGCCCCTGAGCTGGACTCCGGCACCATCAGCACAGATCCTGGGTCTCGTGGTGCGTTGGTTTGGAAATCTTCCACTTTTCGCTTTTATTTTCCTGCCGCCCGCTTGGCCAGGGCCTCCAGTCGGCCGTGGCTTAGAAACCCGGCTGGTGAGAGGTCCGTTAAAATCCTCCTGGACGTGTGGGCAGGATCATCTTCTCAGACTTCCTAATCTGACAGTTTGTGCTAACCAGGCGCTTACGGCCTGCTGTGCAGAACAAAGAATATTTTTCACACTGTGGATATAAGGAGCCTGAGTCTGGCGTAAAGTGAGCAACTGGATAGCTTTTTAATCGTCGGTTTTTTATTATTTAGAGGATTGGATGTTGGGGGGGGGGGGTCATTTCCTCTTACTGGCCACAAATATGCCGACAAAGCAAGATATCCGCTAGTGTGGTGACCACACTTGTCCACATCAATCAAAGCAAGGCCTACATCAAAGAGGCATCTGCACTGACATAAAACTCTGTTTCATTTATAATGTGCTGACTGTCTCTCCCGCCGACTCACCTGCACAAATATTTTTGCCTGCTAACCTACAGAATTAGCGTGTGTGTGAGATGATCGACGCTGAAAGGATGCCATTTTCCACCTGAGTGATGAGAAAAGTGTGTGTTTACTGGATATACAATTATATTTCATTTCCTCTTTGGATTGTATAGATTTTGCTAATTTGAGGTGGCAAGCAATTGACCAGATCATGAAAATATGCATTCGCTTAGAATTCTATTCTGGAGTGGAGCAGCAGTTAGCACTGTCGCCTCTGGGACCGGGGTTCGAGTCTCTGGTGTGGTGCCGTGTGTCGAGCTTGCATGTTCTCCTCGTGTCATCGTGGGGTTTCCTCCGGGTACTCCAGGTTCCCCCCACAGTGCAGAGGGCAACTGGAGTTACCAGTTTGCCCGTAGGTGTGTATGAATCATGTGTGCCCTGTGATGGGTTGGTGCCGCCCCCCCCAGGGTGTTCCCTGTCTTGCACCCGTAGCCTCCATGTTCGGCTCTGTACCCCCACAACCCTGAATGAAACAAACAGTTACAGAAAATGGATAGATGATTACAGAAGATGGAAGGGTGGAATTCTACTCTAAACAACTGACCAAACCATAAAAATAAACATTTGCTTGAAATGATAAGTGAGATGCCCAGTGCAGTACCTAATAGTTGGCATCATATAGGCTACTTTTGCACGAGATGCGGTCTTGTTCATTGAAGTTAAACTGGATGCCAACACACGTGGGCACTATAGATCCCATGTCACTTATCGCAAGAAGTAACATTAATTCGAGTGTCTTGGCAAAACTCCCAGGCTGGATCTCGTAATCTGGCCACCTAATCACCCTTAAATGTAATTACAGCACTCGATTAAAGTCAGTTCTTTACTGATTGATGGATTTGCGTTGAGTGTTCTTCGCAAAATTAATCAGAACGTGCTTATTAGTCTCTGTTACACTTTTTCGTATCTGTGATTTCGTACAACCGCAAAAAAGAACACGTTAAACGTTCTGTTTAAAAATAAAGTTAACAGATACAATACTTGACACATAAATGCATGGTGTTGGCGATACGCAGCCTACGTGATTTCCACCGCTCGTTTCGCTTTTCTTAACATTTAACGAACAGACGGCATTCGTGCGGTAACGTTCGTGGTAACCTGCATCTCTAACCTTTAGGTGGCGTGAATGTGCCGGCACCGAATATTCACTGTTGAGAATACTTAATATCAAAAGTAACCAGCGGTAGAGGCACAGAGAAATTGTTTTCAGACTTTATTGTATATTTTTATTGGGCGAGTGTAACTCTCGTTCTCGCAGTAAATGGTTGTTAGGATGTAAATGGGTGTTACCAAATAAATTTCATGTACAGTCGATTTTAATCTTATGAACCATACATTCCACCCCAGAGTGGAAAGTGGGAGGTTGGAAGTTATAACGCACCAGCAATATACCTTTCTTTCATCCCACACAGTCCAATTCGGAATCAAACGGGGGCTATTAATAGCATAATTATTAAATTGCTGGAGCGTGGACTGTATAAGGAATGTGCCGGTAAGGTTGTACCACTCTGGTGGCGTCGGTAAGAACACCAGGGAAGGCAGATGCAGTTCCAGACTTTACTGCATTCAATTAGGCACTATGGTATTGCATTGGAGTTCACAGGTTGGCCAGTGACTCCTACAGATGCACTGACTTAGTTGTACACAGAGTGTGCATGTGGTCTGAAGAAGGAAATAATATTATATAAATAACTAAAACAATAATAAAATGGAGATATGTTCAGCTAAATAACAAAAATCAGATCTCTAATCAGCAATCACATAACAGTACCGCCACCTACCGGTTAACCTCGGTAAATACTGAATAACCGTAATACTACTACCTTCGCTTAATGTATTATCCCGTCTCTCCTAAACATTTCGCAGTTAACGAGAACTGACTAACAAACAAATTTAACATACAGGATATACAATAGCAACAATGAACACAGAATACAGAGAGTCTGCCTGCGATACATTCGGTAACAGATCTCCTCAAAGTTACACACTAACAACTTAGTAGTTGACCGCACTGCAATATTACAACACCAAATGTAATCAGTCCAAGACCTGTCACTTACAGTTCGTCAGTGACACACAATACTGCACCCTGAGTATTGTAAGTAACTTTCCAGAATCCCTCGGCGCTGGGTAAGATGGTCCGGTGCGGCACAATAAGAAATGAACGCCGAAATCGCAAAGAAGACGCTCCTGACGCTGTTCCAAGCGCATGCGCGTCAGCATTCCGTTTCAGAGACGGCCTTTCCAACAATAATAACAAAATATGATGTAATGATTTTTGTGTGGGCTCAGGGGATACCTCAACCCTAACCTTCCAGGATCTACGTCATTCAGAAGCCGGAAGGATTTAAAATAAAAACCAAATGGCAAAATCAACCTTTTTTTTTGTTTTTGTGAATGCAAAAAAACGGGGGAATGTTCCTGTCTTTAATATATGGGCATTTCGTTCAGGGTATTCCCTCCCACCCACACCGAAACGAGATAAAATGATTTGAAAAGGTATAGTTTATTGCGCCATCTATCGATAGCATAAAGAAAAACAGCGTTCGAAGGAACTGCATGGTGCCTCACGGGGGGGGAGTCGGTCTTCTAAAAATCATGGTAAACCTTCATGGCATAAAATATAAGAAAGTATTTTGTTTGTGGGGAAAGCCACAAACTAATTGCTTGGAAGACACCCTAAAATCGAACTATAAAATAACTTTCAGTAAGCCATAGAACCATCAAACCACGACAATCATTTTCATCAAACGTAAAAGCAGCAGTATAACCCCGAGGAATTGGCTGAGTAAGAATCTAAAACGATCATTTTTAACTGGACAAAGCTTCTCTTGGCCTGCCAAGGACAGCCACATTTTTTTAGTCACATGTATCTCGAAATGTCCCTCATGACACCAATTTCTGAAATAGTTCACTTTATGTTAGGAATAATCATAGGTGGCCCGACAATGGCTCTCATTCATTCGTCTTGGTGACCCTAACCTTAAAAACCAGTGGCTCTCATAAAACCGTCTACAAGTCGTTGGAAACACGCAGCAGGCATCTTTCCCAGAACGCGAGGCGCTCACGATCCGGTACCGCATTTTCAAGCCAGTGTTGTGGTTCTGTGTTGCAGTCTAATCGCGGCTATAGCGGCAGATCGCTTTACAAAATTCTGTTGTTCTGTAACATGCTGTCCGGTTGCTCACGTGCTTTGACGACACCTCTTTCTGGATGCTTTTAGGTGGAAATGAAAGCGCGTTTTGCCCTCGTCCTCCCATTGCTTTTGACTATGATCAGCGCCCAGATAGCTCACTGGGGGGGCTGCCCGGATCCACCAGTTCAGCCGAAGTTCAACCTGCAAAAGGTACAGTTCCAGCTTGTCAGGGCTCAACATCTGATTAGTTGTGCAAATGTTGTTATGTTCTTCTTTATTGCGTGTCTATTTTATTTCACAGTATCTTGGGAAGTGGTACGAAATCGCTAAACTGCCGGCGCAGTTTGAAAAAGGACAGTGCATCGAGGCGAATTATTCAATAAGAGACGATGGGAGTATAAAAGTATTTAACTCGGAAATACTGTGAGTTGTCGATACACTAACGATCTGTTTCTACCGATCCGCGCCGTGTTAGATCCGTACAGACATTCAGACTCCAATAAATACAATTCAGTACATGTATTTAGGTGTCTTTGTACTACTGATTCTGAGCTAGTATTTCTGTCCCAGAAAGGGAGAATTCAGAACGATCGAAGGGACAGCGGTGGTTCAGGACCTCAAGGAGCCGGCTAAGATGGGAATCACCTTCTCTTACTGTAAGTGTAAGCCTGTGCTTAGGTGCCATTTTTCGTTAGGCTATGTATATTTTGTATTCGATCTGTTTTGATCTAACACAACACAACAATAATGGATGACTAGCCTACATAAAATCAGTAGTTTCTTAAAGAAGCAATAAATTCATTTTATGCTTGGATAAATTTGCCTCAGATGACATCCTGTCCATTTCTCATTCTTCTGTGGTGCAGTAATACCTTATACCCCGTACTGGGTGTTGTCTACGGACTACGAGCAGTCGGCGGTAGTCTACTCCTGCACTGACATCGTGAGCCTCTTCCACGTGGACTTCGCCTGGATCCTCGGTCGCACGCGCTCGTTGCCGGCGGACACCGTCCTGAGAGCCAAAGACCTTTTCACCAACAATAACATCGACGTCAGCAAGATGATCTTAACCCATCAGCAGGGCTGTGACGTGGATTCTAGACTGTGAATTAAGATACATTTGCCAAAGATCATTACCTTACTGATTAATGTGTTTTGTCTTTTTAATTGTTTAATGATTTTACTGGACTTCATCACATGATCTGGTTATTCAGATGCCAAATCTAGATGATTTTTATTGGGGGGAGGGGGGGGGGGGGGGCTGGCATCCTAAGAGGACAAGCAAAGGTTGTCACCCACCTCTTTCTGCTTTATGCGCAAAATAAAACAGATCATATTTAAGTTCACATATAAGATATACACAATATTTAGATATAATATCTTGTTCATCACGTGTTTATTAAAAGTCATAATGAAATGTACTCCTCGACTTTCTTCTGATCTTTGGCTTAAAACAAACCAGACATTCATGACCATTTAGTTTTATTTTTTCATTACAATCCGCCGAGGACATAGCTAGAAATTCGTTCTAAGGAAATATGGTCTGAGCCCGACCATACAACTTGCCTAATAACTGTAGCACTGGTGCACTAACACGGCATAAAAATGCCCAAATGTGAATTCACAGATGATTTACAGAGAGGATTCCCCTGTTTTTGGTTAGAAAGACAGAAGCGATTGTTAGCACCCATGTCTGTCGAGTCATTGAAGGGCCCTCTGCGTACACCACACAATACCCAGCAGATGTCTAGCAAAGAATATCACGCCTATTTTATAAGCAATCAATGATTGTTGGGAAAGATTCGATATTCAGGGACATCAGGAGGACTGAAAAGTGACTATATTGAAATTGTGGACATTTTTAAACCTATTTTATTTTATTCTATGGCAATGAAAATAAACAATGTGATTTAAAAGGTTTAGTAAAAGTTTAATCTCATTTTTAAACTATTTATTTTATTTATAAAGAACACGAAATCGTTATATTGAAGGACTGGGCTGTATAGGATATTGAGGTACTTGTTATTAGTTTTGTTATGTATTAAAGTTAATTAATATAGTTTTTGGGGCATTTGTCAGCTTTTAGCACACACATTGCTACTGTGCCATTCGAACATAAGAACATAAGAAATGTACAAACGAGAGGAGGCCATTCGGCCCATCGAGCTCGTTTGGGGAGAACTTAACTAATAGCTCAGAGTTGTTAAAATCTTATCTAGCTCTGATTTAAAGGAACCCAGGGTTTTATCTTCCGCTACACTAGCAGGAAGACTATTCCATACTCTAACTACATGCTGTGTAAAGAAGTGCTTCCTCAAATTTATTTTAAAATGTTCTCCCCCAGGCACAGACGCACCACTGTAACGCCCCCCCCCGCCCCCTTGTGCTCTCCTTTGAAAACCAAAAAATGATCGACCTCATTTTGTACTAACCCTCACGGGAACCAAACAAGGTTTAATGTCTCCGGAACATAAACGAGAGACAGGCCGGTTACATGTGGTTTTAATTCCCGCCTTATACAGTGCAAAAGTGTTGCGTCATTAATAGAACGGGAGGTTTTTCATTCTTCTTTTAAAACTCAGGTAGGCTATATATGATTAGTAGTGTAGGCAGCATTCTGACGAATGATAGGCCTACCAACACACAAAATTTCAAGAGCATTCAGAAATCCAGCGCAAACGATCTGTGAGCTGTTCAAAGTGAAGGTTAGTATTTTTAACCAAAAGATGACATTTGCACTACCAAATTTGGTATCGTTTAATAAATTTAAGGATTTTTAGGTTCTGGATGCCATTATTTCATTACCGTAGTTGCCTAACATTGTGAGAATGGTATTGGAAGGATATTTGAATGTGCCTCGTCCTAAATTTAAAACCGATAAAAATTCGTTATTGTAAAATTGTTAAGCATATTAAAAATAAATGTTGACTGATTCCATCAAGTACTTTGGTGGGAACTCTGTGCCAGGCTAGCAAGCTATTTGTATATAATTTATAGCAGTGGAACTCTGAAATTAGACTTTGGAAAACCATAATTAACCGGCTACATTAAGCCTAACACTTAAATACTAAGCATATTCAAAATAAATGTTGACTGATTTCATGAAGTACTTCGGTGGGAGCTCTGGGTGCATCTAACAAACACTAAGTAGCCTATGTAGTTTATTGCGGTGGGACTATGAAATTAAACACTGGAAAACAAGTACAAAAGGTAATGTTAACGCACAAGGAAACGTTCGTTTCAAATGGCGCTTTATGAGCAAGACGCACGTCGTTAGCATCATAACCCGCTTTGCAAACTTGCATCTCCAAACTTGCTCTTCCAGCATTTTAAATATTAACATTGCACAGTGCAAATATAAATACATCAGGAGTGTACCTGAATATAAATAGAAAGTATTACATGTAAAGTTCCTGTCCTGCTCATTTTGGTCCTTCGCTGAAAAAAAAAAAGTTTTACGCTGTATATATAGAGTACAAATAACGTGGGCGTAAAGACGAAAATTAATGGCATGTGACTGACATGTCAATATTAACAGGAGTACTGAGTTGGATTAATTAAAAATGAATTGTGTATTCCTCATGCAGTTTTCATAGCAATACAATTCAAAACGACAATTTCACGAACTGCTGTCTTTGGACTGATAAGTGTAAATTAGAGGAAACCCGCGACTCACGGAGCCAAGGTGAGAAAAACAGCGCCGCCGACTGAGCCTGACTGACCGTCACTTAGACAAAAATATTAGCACTGATATGTGGAAATTATCCATTATGTACTTTAATGAGTATTTTGCTTATGACGTTTAGGCATATTCATGCAATCATATAGTTGACATTGTTCTTTACCGTATCCTTTTGTCCACGAAAGATGAGAACTGAAAATCCACGTCTTCTACTAATAGGTAATTAATCGTACTTTTACATTAAATTGTTTTTTTATTGTTTGTTTATCATTTGAAAACAATAACATATAATGTGTAGTTTACTTTAAACATTGAATTATCTTCTCATTTAGGTCTATGTTACATATATTAGTTGGTGAAATAAAAAAAACTACAAAAAAAAACGTGAATATTATTGGATTGGGGGTTAAGGTAAGATCACATTAATCTGTGCACAGACCTTCAGACTCAGGGTGTGAGTAACTGACCTGTCTGTCCTGCAGTGTATCTGTGCTGGGGGAGCCAGGGACAGCCGACAGAATCTGCTCCTTCCGTCACTAACGTTACAGTGGGAGGGAGCTTCCAGTTTCCCTTCATACCGGATGGGAACCAAAGCTACAGGGCAGAGTTGAAATTTAACTCCACTGTGCTGATTGCTACATGGATCTTTCAGTCACCCCCATTTATAAATGTAAACTACGAAGGAAAAGTGAAGATTCTGGAAAACCTGATACAGCTGGATAACGTTCAGCTTTCAGATTCAGGTTTTTATGATGTGAATATAGATTACCTTTCACAATCAACAAGTCAACCAATAAGGTTTATCCTTCAGGTTTATGGTGAGTGTGCACAGTACAAAGGGTGATACGAGTCATGATCATAATGCAAGCAGCAATAGACCTATAGATTATTGTTGGATTCTTTTGCAAACATATTTAGCTTCACTTATTTCTTATAAATCAGTGCGAAATGCAAACACATCTAAGCTGTAATGTTGTTATCATTGTGATGCATTTTTCTTTCCTTCAGTTTTGATTCCTTTCATGGCTGGTACACCTCAAAAATTTCCAGTTCATTCAATCTTTCTAAAGTGTGATATGATATTACTACACCTTGGTCAAATGCTATATTGTAACACAAGTTTTTCCTCCTTTAATAATGGGCGTAAATAATAGCCTTTGTCTGTATTGTTTTCTCTCACTACAGAGCCAGTGTCTAAACCCAACATCACTGCTGAGTGTCTGGGCAGCAGTGTCACTCTGACCTGCACTAGTAGTCAGGGGACCAATGTGGAGTACAGCTGGGAAACTGCGCCCCCTTGTGGAGAGAGCTGCTTAGTGCATCTTGGTCCTGTTGTACAGATACCCTTCTCTGATACACGAGACTCCATATATTATAAATGTACGGCTTGGAATGAGGTCAGCAATGAGACCAGTAACCCTTTGGAGCCGAATTTATGCCCCACACAGCAACCAGGTAAGGTCTAAACAAATGTTTCAGCGTGTGTATTTATTTAATAGTGGACAGTGAAAGACAATCCTTAAGAAGTGGAAAATGGCATATCTTATTCACTTAAGTTTGTACCAAACAGCAAGTATAAATATTTATGGTTGACATGAAAATGGGAGACTATATGAGAATGCAAAATGTAATTAAATGTAGAATAATATAAAGATAAATATTAAAATTTGGATTAATGTGTTAACTGTGAATGTTACAGTTTCAGTAAGGTCACATTTCATACTGTTTTTATAATAGCAGGTTTTAATTGGATTATAGCCCTATGGATGGTAATACCAGCATTATATCTCACTGGAGCTGTGATCTACATAAAGCGGAGCAGAAAAGGATCAAATATAGGTAAAAATAGATGTATATATGCTCATTAGGCACAAACGCTAATAAATTCTTATTTAATCTTATTCTGCAGGCTTATTAAAAATTCACCTGAAACTTATCACTTGTGCGATAATCCCCAGCAGATACACCAGAGGATGGACATCTGTCACCGTCCCCTACAACAGAACCTGTGTACATACAAGAGATGCGAGTTTCCTCATGTGCAGTTTACAGCCACTTTGTCTCTGGAGGCGACTGAATTCACTCCAGTACAAAAACGGTGACATATTTCAGCTGGGCACACATACAAACCAGGGCTAAAAAAGTGGAATCAGATAATCTTAACACATCTATAAAGGTTTTTATGGCCTAAATATAGAGTATTACTATATATAATATATATTTACAGTCATGTAAACACACTATAGATCTACAGTGACACACTATAGATATACAGCAATAAAGCTGCAGTTTTGTCACTGTTGTGCTGCACTTAAAAATAAAAACGACCTTTCTGAGAAAAGGTGGTTTAAGATCTCAAGAGAACGAACTGTGGGCTGAGCTGTATGTTTCAGTGCTTTGAACTGCTGTGAATTTACACCCTATAGACAAAGACAAAGCTGCTGCAATGTGTTAAGCTGCACAGTTAGATGGTCAATGTGGCCAATGCTGCAGGAGAGCTTGCACCGCCCACGTGGAAACCTCCGGAAAGAGGGTCTCAGGCACGTCGTGCAAACCAGGCACGGCTGCAGGTGGTAAAGGCAACAGTTCTTTGGTGAATATAAGAAGTTGAGATCAAAAGCCTCTTTATACTGCGTTACATGAAAATATTTGCAGGTTGTAATTTTGTGATTATTTGGAATGTTTGAGTTGTATTCGAATCTCCCCTGGGGTCAAAAAATGATCTTAACCAAATGTTTTAGAAAGTTAGAGATCGGTTTTGCATCGTCTGCTGTCCTGAAGTGTGTTTCTGTATCACATTTAACATGCATATGTTGTATGTATTTGTATTTATTCTCTATAATGTAGAATTTATATCCTGTCACTTTTTTTTGTCCTCTTTTGTCACTTGCTGTAGTAGCTGTACGAACAAAACTTTCCCCTGGCATTGATCATGTGACAATAAAGATTCTATTCTATTCTATTTCATTTTTGAATGTCTACTTGTTTAAAAGGCATGGGTTACAAAAATTGTTCACTGCACCATTCCTTTGACCTTTAACCTAAAACCTCCTTGGTGCAAGATGCATTAAAATTTGGAAAATAATAAATGAAAATGAAGAGGAAATAAAACAGAATTATAATCACATTGGGGACAGTGTGGCTCAGTGGGTTAAACATCTGTGTTCAGATGGCCGCCGGTTCGAGCCCGACTGCTGCAGAATGGTCACGTCTGTAGCCCCTTGAGGGAGGCCCTTAACCCCCAGCTCTGTGGGCGCTGCTGTAGGTGACTGCCCTTCACTGACAAGCTCAGTCGCACCTACAAATCTGTCTGTGTCATGAAGATCATCAATAAAATGTCATAAAAAAAAGTTGCTGCTGTATTTGCAAGCAACGTCCTACAGTGCATTGTGATGTGTGAAGACCACATGAAATGCGGCGCAGTCATACGCATCACGAGCCACATACAGAGCTCACACGCATATTATGTGTGTGTGTATATATATGGTGGCGTGTAGGAGTACAAACGTATGCAGTGGAGCTTTTATGAGAATCAGCTCGCAGTGGCTGCCGTTTAACAGACGACAAATGAAAATTAAACAAAATAGTGTGAGAGTTGCCGAAATCACATGTCGTGATTCACAGGTGACTCCAGGAGCTGTCAGAGGGTATTTTCTTTTAAAGTGCCCCCCCCCCCTGGTGAAATCAGCTGCTTAGTCCATCTTGGTCCTGTTGTGGATAGTGCAAGACAGGCCTTAAGACGTGGAGAATGAAATTTCATTTATTTAAGTCCGATTCCAGAGAGTTTTGCATTATGAATATTTGACTGATGGACAAAAAAAAAAAACAGAAATATTTAAAGTCAAGACAACCTGTGAAACTGGCACCAAAATTCTTTGTGATGAAAATGGAATCCATAGAATATATATGACTTTTATAAGTAATAATAATAATAATAATAATAAAAACTAAACTGCCACATAGAACTTTAAGAAAAACGCAGGTTCTCTCTTTTTTTTCTCGAGAGGTAATAAACATAAAATGGGTGATTGAAAATATCTAAAGCATAGTGTTGCTTGAAAAGTGCAACAGTGTCATCCCACAAGTGAAGGAACCTGATTCACACATAAGAACTCAGAGTAAGAAAACATGTCAAACGTTTTCTTCAAAGAAATATGAGCTCTGAGTGTTACAGTCAGAAGGTCTTAGTCACATTCATACCCATTTTATTATCACAGGTCATAGATGGACTGTAACCCTGTGTGCAGTAATATCAGTAGAACTTTTACTGGAGCTGTGATCTGCATACAAAGATGGAGGAAGAGAAGCAACAGACAACAAAATATGGGTAATTATTACATAGAACTAAAACAGAACAAATCGATCATTTATTTACTTTGTTTATAAGTTTACTAAGAATGTTTGGTTTATATAAACGTTCTCTGCAGGTCCAGCTGAGCCAGTTAGAGATGAAGGTCTCTTAGCATCTCCTGCAATAGAACTCATTTCAAAATAATTTCTTTAATGTGTTCAATATGTCTTTATTTCCATCCAATCACCATCTATAATGTTACCTGAAATTTGTTCATTGGGAATATATATATGAGCACGTTGCATCCGTGCACTTGCACCTCACAGCTGCATGCAGACAACTGCCACCTGAGATGCAGCCAATAAAGTCCGCAGGTCTTAAATATGTGTCAAATGTTCTCACATTTCCCTGCTCAGTGGGTAGTTTTGAAAACATTATCACAGATGAAGTGGAAAGTTATGTGGTCGTGCATTTGATGCTTTTTGTGGGGTCAAGGTCGTGACAGTGGTTCTGTAGACCTGCTTTCCACATATGAGCTTCAAGCTACAGAAAATACCACAACCATCTACGCATGATCTTCTCCTTAGAGGCAACAATCACCAACATGAATAAAAAGCCATAAGAGTATAAGTTAGCATGATTTCCGTACCCTTTGTGCAGACCTGAAACCTGCAGGCTGTAATAACACTGGGCCCCAATGACCTGAGTACGGTTTGGGTTACAGCAGGTCTCCACTTTATCTAACATTGTCTTTACCCTGTTGATGAAAGCGCATAAAGAACCTCATTGAACTGGCTATTGTTACATTCATAGATTTTGTAATGGTTTTGTGATTATTGGGCAACTGAGACAAAACCTGCTGTGATATAACAATTCAGCAGAGTTTCACCCAAACTGGAGTCTTGCTATATAAATACTCAGATTATTGAACAAACTTAAGAAAAATGACCTTAAATGCAAAATTGTTATCTTCTTTACAGGAAACTACAGTAATGTACTCACCGATGTCATACTTTTCTTGATATTGAAGTAAACCACTAACCCAATGAGCTGGTAATACAGGTGAAGGTTCAGTCAGTGCACTGAGGTATGAATGTTCTCCTGCCAGGAAATGCATTTAAGTCAAGCTGCACTTTGGCAAAGTAAATCTAATATAAACCTGTCTGTGTGGAACCGATTTGGGGGGTAATGAAATGAAATAGCTCTGGTTCTGTCTGCCATTTTGGGCCCAGTTTAAACATCACATCTGACACAGTAGAGTTCATTCAGCTCAGAGACTCAGTTCTCTCACCACCAGAAGGCAGTAGGACAGGTAACTCCACCATATGCAATTACTCTGTTTAAAAATCATTCTATTAGCTGCAACACGCCTGGTTTGTATACATATACAAGAATGTGCTTCTTTTTTGTCACGTTTAGGACCTTTGTGGTAATTAACTTCCCCTGGGTTTTTAAATGTTTTCTGGTTCTGATAAAGTGCATTTTATTTTGAGTGATTTTCTTCATCTGTCTCAGTCGGTTTGGCAGTAAATCACTTACCATTAGTTTTCTATTACATTTATGTTGAAATTTGAACAATACAGCACTGATGTGTGTATATATTAAATGTTGTATATGGTATTGAAGTTGGGGGGTGAAGTCTGTCTGGGGGGAGGGGGGATGGGGCGCCTGCAGTGAAACTTGCCTATAGGGCCCCACATCAGCTTTGACCGGCTGTGTTTAAGTGGCATTATCGGATGCTCACTGCGTGATCTAAAACCATGACGTTAATAAAATAATGAGTAACTACATTATATGGACAACAAAATTTTGAGATACGTGGCCATTATACCTACAGGAACCTTTATGGCATCCTTATAAAATCCGTAGGCATCAATATGAAGTTGGTCCAACCTTTGCAGCTATAACAGCTGCCACTCTTCTGGGGAGGTTTTCCACAAGATTTTGGAGTGTATCTGTGGAAATTTTAGCCCATTCATCTAGGAGAGCATTTGTGGCTCCCAATCTCCATACTAGTTCATCCCAAAGGTGTTTGATGGGGTTGAGGTCAGGACTTTGTGTGGACCAGTCAAGTTCTTCCACACCAAACTCAATCGACCATGTTTTTACCTTGTATTTACTGGAACTAAGGGGTCTAGCCTAACCCATGAAAAACAACCCCAAACCATTATCCCTCCTCCGTCAAACTTTACAGTTGGCAGAATGCAGTCAAACCCAAACTCGTCCATCAGACTGCCAGACAGAGAAGCGTGATTTGTCACTCCACAGAACACCTTTCCACTGTTCCAGAGTGCAGTAATGGTGCTTTACACCACTCCATACAACGCTTGGCATTGTGCTTGGTGATGTGAGGCTTGCATGCAGATGCTTGTCCATTAGACAAAGACCATTTCACCAACAATATCATCGACGATCATAAGATGATCTTAACCCGGCAGCAGGGCTGTGATGTGGATTCTGCCTGTGGTTGTCAAAGCACTACTGATGGGTTTAGATAGTTACCATACCGGATACATTGGCGGATGAATAGCCAGCTGACTGTTTACCAACATCACTGGACTTGACCAGTTGATCATTCGACTACAGGTAGTGGCAAATCCAGATTATTATCAGGGGAGGGGCATGGGGACTGGGGGGGGGACACTAAAATGGATGGGGCCTCGCAAGTGGAAAAATGAAGGAAACTTATTTTCTTAAGTTACACAATAATTAGTGATAGGATGTCTTGTTCATTGTGTTTATTAAAAGGATGATTTCTTCTAATCTTGGACTTAAATCAGACTCAGCCTCTTCGTTTTGTTTTATTTTTCCAATACACTCTGCACTCTTTTGTTAATATGTATACGGCACAATGGTCAGGACTAAACAAAGGCTTTAAAACAATTGTATTCTGAGGTTTCCATGCCTGATACTAAACAGTCAAATAATCTCCATATATACGGCACTCAGAGTCATGTTGTGTTTTTTCCCACAGAAGTGACGAGTCACCATCATTGTGCAAAGCCATTTTGTCTATAGGGTAAAGTTAGATAATATTTTTCAAAAAGCAGTAAGTTTCAGTGAGTCAGGTTTGCCTGTGAAAGGCCTCATTGGAGGCTTTACCTGTGGTAGCTGCTGTTGTACCAGCAAACTATCTCATGGCTTGCCTCTAGGTTCAGTGTTAAAAATACACTATCATTATTTCGTTAGGGTGACCATATGTCCTCTTTTATGGGACCTTAAATTGCGTCTGGTCTGGCTTTCTAAATATCCGGGATTTGGCTTTATTTCATGTTAATATATGCTTCCTACTTGCGGAATGTAGAACTTCCCGTGAACACACTATCATTGCTTCGACGCTACCTTTACGACCCGCCTTCTCGCAAACGTCTTCTCGCTCAGGAGTGTGGCACTAATATAACGCCATAGATCGTTACCTTCAACACGTGTCTGACGCGCAGAGCGACCGCGACAGCCAGAGACAGAGATACAACTTGCACGATAGTAATAGCGCATACGATTCAGTGTCAAAGGTACTATAATCTAGAAGCCCACTTACGAGGTAAGTTACGCAAAACACAAAACAACAGCTAGACGAGAGAGTTAGCTGCTCTAACTGAGTACTTTATGGGACCGGCAGCTGCTCGTGGAGTATCTGCATTGCACTCCGCTATGCATCAGAATAGCTACAGATGTATAGATTGCACGTCTGCCTTGAGAAAAAAAGACCTTCCCTGATTCAGAGTCCGATAATGTCCACTGATGCAAAGCCAATGAACAAAGGAAAGGACTCACATGTCGGTTAAGTCACTAAAGGGGCCTCTGGTCAATCCTATAATCGACATAGGCGGCCGCCTAGGGCGCCAACTTCTGATGGGGCGCCAACTTCTCAGGCAGTTTCTCTTTGCCTGGAACAGGAGTCGCCGGCGGTGATGCTAGCCTAGGGCGCCACATCGGCTTGGACCAGTACTGACCACACAATATCAAACATATATGTCTTGCAAAGACGCTCTTGCCTATTTTATGGGCAATCAATGATTGCTGGGAAAGATTCAGTCGTCAGGGACATCAGAAAGACTTCAGGAAGTCTAGTAAAATAGGTGATTTTCATGACAACGTATTTTATTTTATTCTATGGCCATGAATAGAAGCAATGTTTAACAAGGTTTGGTAAAACTTTAAACTCATTTTTAATTATTTATTTTATTTGTGAAGAACATGATATATTGAAGGACTGGGCCGTACAGGCTATTGAGGCATTTGCTTTTAGTCTTGCTATGTATTTAAGTTCATTAACATAGTTTTGGAGGCATTTGTCAACTTTCTGCATGACACTGATACCGCGTGTTTCAACCCCTCCAGGCGCGCGCGACCTCCCACCAATGTGGGCGTCCCCCCTCCCGTGTCCTCCCGTGTCCTCTTTTTTGAAGACCAAAGCATGCTCACCTTATACTGTAGCTATGCACAGTCATTCGAAGGAAAGATTTAAAGAAAATAAACTTACCATGACGTCTTGCCTAAGACTGCTACACATGTTATGTGGGGTTTAAAGTCCCACCTTACGCTGTGTAAACGAGTTGCCGCATTATTAAGAAATGTAAGTTTTTAACAACTTTGTAAAACTTAGGTCTATGATGAGTAGTGGCAGCATCATAAGCACTGGCGCAAATCAAGAACATTCAGAAATCCAGCGCAAACGATCTGGGAGCTGTTCAAAGTGAAGGTTGGTATTTTTAATCCTTTTTTGTAAGTAACAAACGGTAAACATTTAAATGCCATTTGATATATAGCCGAAAGACGACATTTGAAATACCAAGTTTGTAACATTTAATAAATGTAATGATTTTTAGGTTTTGAATGCTATCATTTCACTACGGTAGATGTTTGTTGATACGGAATAAGATTAGGGCCACCATGAAAATATTATTGGAATTCTGACTTTAGAGTTTAGAAAAAACCTCATTCTGACATTAAAGTCAGAATTCTGAGAAAAAAGTCAGAATTCTGACATTAAAGTCAGAATTCAGATATTTTCATGGTGGCACTAATCCTCTTCCGTAGTTGAAATACCTGGCTACACAACGTGAGAATGCTAGGGCTAATAGAAGAATATTTTTAAATTCACGTAAATGTAAAAGACGCAAAAACCATTTATGGAGGAAATTGTAAGTATATGCCTATTTGTAATATAGGACCATGAAGACGTCAGCATCGTAAACCGCTTCGGAAACTTGCATCTTCGAACGTTCTTTCCCACCACGAAGTATTTTACTTATTAATACAGTACAGTGCAAATATAAATAGACAAGGAATGTCCTAAATATAAATAAAAAATAATTACAGGTAAAACTCCTGTCCTACTCATTATGGTCATTCACCGCCAACAAGAGATTTACGCAATAGGCTGAACAAAACGCAAATTGAAAAATAGTTATATGAATTGTACAAAACAAGAACAAGAACAGGGTGTTAATATGATTTTAAAAGATAATACATAAAAACACTTATTAACTATAAGTAGGTCTACAATTATTATTTCATAGCCGTGTCGCAGCTAACTTAATATTTACATTACGAAACTGGCATGTGTTTTCAGCAGAAATTGCAATTTTACGAATGATCCTGCATGGTCTGCTTTGAATAGATTGCTTTTGGCAAACGGATTTAAAAAATAAAATCCATATATGATGGTTCTGTTTTTTTCTGGTTAGCCTACAAATAACGTGGGCGTAAAGCCGAAAATTAACGGAATGTGACTGACAGGTCAATATTAACAGGAGTACTGAGTGGGATCGATTAAAAATGAATTTTGTATTCCTCGTGCAGTTTTCACAACAATACAATTCCAAACGACAATTTCCCAAACTGCTGTCTTTGGACTGATAAGTGTAAATTAGAGGAAAACCGCGACACACGGAGCCAAGGTGAGATAAAACAGCGCCGCCCACTGAGCCTGACGGACCGTCACTTAGACAAATATATTAACAATTTAAATATCACTGCTATATGAAAATTATCTATTGTGCACCTTAATAAATAATTTGCTTATTTACGTATTTATATAGGTGTTATTGGACTATTTTTATGTTCACAAAAGATGAGAACTGAAAATCCACATCTTCTACTAATAGGTAAATTATAAATTTGCATTAAGGTTTTTTATGTTATGCTGCATAATCTGAAAAAATAACACGTAACATCTACATTTTCACTTGAGGAGTTTAGTTTATTTTAAATACTGAATTATTTTCTCAATTATATTACATGCATTAGATGGTAAAATAAAAGATAACATGGTTAAATATTATTGGATTGGGGGTTAAGGTAAAATCACGTTAATCTGTGCACAGACCTTCAGACTCAGGGTGTGAGTAACTGACCTGTCTGTCCTGCAGTGTATCTGTGCTGGGGGAGCCAGGGACAGCCGACAGAATCTGCTCCTTCCGTCACTAACGTTACAGTGGGAGGGAGCTTCCAGTTTCCCTTCATACCTGATGGGAACCAAAGCTACAGAGTTGACCTGAAATTTAACTCCATGGTGCTGATTGCTACATCGACCTTTCAGTCACCCCCAATTATAAATGTAAACTACAACGGAAGAGTGAAGATTCTGGAAAACCTGATACAGCTGGATAACGTTCAGCTTTCAGATTCAGGTTTTTATGATCTGAATATAGGTTACCTTTCACAATCAACAAGTCAACTAAGAAGGTTTATCCTTCAGGTTTATGGTGAGTGTGCACAGTACAAAGGGTGATACGAGTCATGATCATAATGCAAGCAGCAACAGACCTATAGATTATTGTTGGATTCTTTTGCAAACACATTTAGCTTCACTTATTTCTTCTAAATCAGTGCTAAATGCAAAAACATCTAAGCTGTAATGTTGTTACTATCATTGTGATGCATTTTTCTTTCCTTCAGTTTTGATTCCTTTCATGGCTGGTAAACCTCAAAAATTTCCAGTTCATTCAATCTTTCTAAAGTGTGATATGATATTACTACACCTTGGTCAACTGCTATATTGTAACACAAGTTTTTCCTCCTTTAATAATGGGCGTAAATTATAGCCTTTGTCTGTATTGTTTTCTCTCACTACAGAGCCAGTGTCTAAACCCAGTATAACCGCTGAGTGTCTGGGCAGCAGTGTCACTCTGACCTGCACTAGTAGTCAGGGGACCAATGTGGAGTACAGCTGGGACACTGCGCCCCCTTGTGGAGAGAGCTGCTTAGTGCATCTTGGTCCTGTTGTACAGATACCCTTCTCTGATGCATGGGACTCCATATATTATACATGTACGGCTTGGAATGAGGTCAGCAATGAGACCAGTGACCCTTTGGAGCTGAATTTATGCCCCATAGAGCCAGCAGGTGATGCATGAAGTCCCAGTATGTGCATTTATATAATAATGGACAGTAAAAGGGGAGAATTGTATATACTGTATTATTAATTGAAATCTTTTCCGGAGAACATTATAGTATGAATATTTATCTGAAATGAAAAAGATATTGGAGTGTTTGTCTGGAAAACAAAGATCTAGTGCTATCATTGAAAATGTGAGACAGTTAAATGTTAAAATGTGATTAAATAGAGTAGAATATAAACATACATGAAATTTCATGTGTTGACTGCAGCCATGTCAACCAAAAGTAAGACAATGTGTCAAACCAAATACATAGTTTGAGCGTTACGGTTTCAGTCAGAAGGACGGAAGTCACATTAATTACTCTTTATAACAGGTTTTAATTGGATCATAGCCCTATTGATAGTGATACCAACATTGCTTCTGGCTGGAGCTGTGATCTACATACACAGGAGAAGCAAAAGAGGATCAAATACAGGTAAATATCAGCACTAAATCAGGGATGCTATGTGGCTCAGCGGGTAGTGACACGACGCTGCGGGGTTCCATTTCTGCCAAAAATGTGTCAATATGCACACTGTCCATGTCGACTGGACATTTGTTTGTGTGTATTTAACTTTAAACTGAACTTCAGCTGTGACAAAACTATTTTGACAGTGAGATTGACCATGGCGATAGGTCACCTGACTAAACATTTGTCTGTGTCAGTTCAACTTTAAACTGTACGTCTGGCGTTTGAGCACTCCTTGTCGTTTGACTGCTGTCCTAATGTGTTGTCTGTGTTGTCATGAATGTCGTCTTGTTGTGTAGTTTGTCTGTGTTGTTTTGCTTCTAGTCCTCCTGTATCATTCTCCTTGTTGTTTGTGTCGTTCTGCATGTCGTCCTGCTGTATTGTTCTCCGATACACCAATCATCCTGAAATTCAATTAGTTTTTTTTGTAGCTATTCAACAATCTGCAAATGCTACTTCTGTCAAAATCAAGTTAGGATTTCTTTACTTTTTCTAGTCCTAGGCAGTCACATAGTTTACCCTCATTATCTGCACTTGCCTTATTTTTTATACTTCATATTCCTTATCTTATTCTGCATTTTAATTCTGTAAAGCAGTTTGAATGAGTTTAAAGTTGAACTGAGACAAATGTTTAGTCAGATGATCAATCAACATAAACAACCTCATTGCCAAATTATTTTTGTCACAGCTGAAGTACATTTCAAAGTTGAATAGACACAGACAAATTTTTTGTTACACATTCAGTCGACATTGACAGTGTGCTTTTGACATATTTTTGGCACAAATTGGAACCCCAAACTGTGCTTGTGATCAGAAGGTTGTTGGTTCAAAATCCCAGGGTCAGCAGAGTGGTTAACTCATTGGGATCTTGTGCATGATCTTTAGTCCCCATTTGCGTCAGGAACTGTCTCATCTTGTTTTCTCAGTTAATTTGTATAAAAATGTTTGCTGAATATTAATTATCTTATTCAACAGGCTTTTCTAAAAACACACCTTAACCAATTATCTCCAGCAGATACACCAGCCCCAGTTACAGATGGATTCCTGTCACCAGCCCCAGTTACAGATGGATTCCTGTCACCAGCCCCAGTTACAGATGGATTCCTGTCTCCAGCCCCTACAATAGAGCCTGTGTACATACAGGAGTTGCGATTTTCCTCACGTGCAGTTCACAGTTAGTTAGTCTCTGTAGGTGACTGAATTCACTCCTGCACGTCTTATATAAAGCAGCTGTTCACACTACAGAAACTGTGAAATATCTCAGAAGGCACACATATGAACCACGGCTAAAATGGAAAATGGAATCAGAGCATCTTAACACACTGGGACAAATAATACTTGCTAGATTCAGCTTAATTTGACCTGAATATAGAGTAATAACCTGCAGAAGCAGAGTTTGCTTCCATGATGCATTACTGACCTACAGCATTAAAGCTGCAGAGTGGTTTAACATCTCAAGAGAACGAACTGTGGGCTGAGCTGTATGTTTCAGTGCTTTGAACGGCTGTGAATTTACACCCTATAGACAAAGACAACGCTGCTGCAATGTGTTAAGCTGCACAGTTAGATGGTCAATGTGGTCAATGTTGCAGGTTAGCTTGCATCGCCCACGTGGAAACCTCCGGAAAGAGGGTCTCAGGCACGTCGTGCAAACCAGGCACGGCTGCAGGTGGTAAAGGCAACAGTTCTTTGGTGAATAAAATAAGCAGTTCAAATAATTTTTTTTTATCTTTGTTCTAAAAGAAAATATATGCAAGTTGTAATTTTATCATTATGTAGAACATTTCAATTATACTAGAATCTCCCCTTGGGATCAATAAACGTTCCCCTGACCTTGCCTGCATGTGGGAATAAAGATTCTGTTATTTTCTAAATGTCTACTTGATAGAAAAAGCCTGGGTTATAACAATGTGTCAATGAACCTCACAACCAGTGTTAACTTTAGTAAGAATTTCTATTTAGTTTTAGCCTTAGTCACTTACTGAAAATTATAGTTGGATCAAAGTCACATTTTAGACTTTTGTTTTTGTTTTGTTTTAGTTAAGATTTAGTCAGTAAAACTCAGGTTTCATTTTAATTTAATTTTAGTCAATTTGTAGTCAAAATTTTCTCAGACAATTTTGTAATACTGAAATGTATTTTGCTGAAGGATATTTTCCCATGCTGTATAAATTCCCTTGAGAAGCAAGCACACCTTATACATAAGCACACCCTATGATGCTTAATTATCTAGGTTGGGAATGTGTTACTGAGGTACTGTACTTCTTTCATATATAAAAATAAATGCCTAAAGTCTGTTAGAAAAAGTACAATACAATCCTATTTCCTTCACAGGTCATATTTATTTTCTGAATACCTCAATAGCATACTTTTCCCTGTTTCATTTTTGTTATTTGGCATTAAAATACCCATCAAATTTAATTGTATGCCCATTTTATACTTTAATAATGTTTATTATTAGGGCAACAAAACACCCGTGAAACACCTATTTAACCGTGTGCAAAACCTGTCTTCACAATTGATAATAACCCTTCTTCAAAAACAGAAAGCACATAATACAATAAAATTGCTGAAGTGACAAAAAGGGATATTAGTGTGTCATTTAGAATTTTTAGAATTAGGTTGATCAGTGATCATTGTTGACACACCACAGCACACTGTGCACAACAACTAAATGTGACATCATATGTCAGAAAAAGTCGCCCCTTTGACAGAGCTGTAAAACTTTATATTGTTCCGTAGTTAATAGGTAAATATGCAGGAAGTAAGCAGCAACAAAGCAGTAGTGCTTCATTAACACCTAAATTAGTACTATTCACTACTAAGGAGTTATGCTTAATTACTCAATAGGTAATAGTGAACTAATTATTATAGTAGTTCGCTAGTACTTCATTAGGAGCTATTGAGTATTGCAGGTCTCATTGGGGATTATCTACTAACTATGGATTATTTCTAATAACTACTAGTTCATTACTCGTCAAATGAACAGTGCTTTTTTTAGACTAACTGGGATGTATATGCTACTGTTCTCAATGGTTTTTGGCATTCTTTTCCTTTTGGAAAAACAGCCTTGTTTCTTCCTACTTGTTTGTATGACATACAACTTATTCTACAAAAAGTTACTGCCTAAAATATGTATACAGTACATACATTTTAATTGTTGACCTCACTTCAGTCTGTGCCAGTGTTCTTCAAACTGTGCTTTGAAGTCCAACTGAAGGGATGGTCAATCAGAGATTCGTGTTTTGCCACATGATGTGCTCCACCACATATTGTTGATCTTTTCTAAACATTAAGAAATTAATGTATGTATTTTAAATAAGGAATGGAGTGTTAATAATGACCTAAATAAAACTAATTGTAACTCATTAGTAATGAATGTGGCATTACTGACTTCTTCAATAGGAGTTACTAAAGATCAAGAACAGTATGTGAGGTGTGAGGTGGAGGGCCTAGCGAAGTGGTGTGAGGCAAATCACATCTCCATGAACATCAACAAAACAAAAGAGATGGTGATTGACTTCAGGAGACAAAGAGGGGAGCTAACTCACACCCCAATACAGATCAATGGAACCCCTGTGGAGAGAGTCAGCAGCTTCAAATACCTTGGTGTCCACATCAATGAGGACTTCACCTGGAGCACACATACAGACTTCCTCATCACTAAAGGCAGACAGCGGAGGGTAGCCTCTATCACCTGAGGCGTCTAAAGAGGTTCAAGATCTCCAACAACATCCAGAGGAGATTCTATACTGGAGTCATCGAGAGCATCCTGACTAGCAACATCACGGTGTGGTATGGGAACTGCACCGTACAGCAGCAGAAAGCCCTGCAGAGGGTAGTGCCCACAGCGGAATGCACCATGAGAACCTCTCTACCAGCCCTGCAGAGGGTAGTGCGCACAGCGGAACGCACCATGAGAACCTCTCTACCAGCCCTGCAGAGGGTAGTGCGCACAGCGGAACGCACCATGAGAACCTCTCTACCAGCCCTGCAGAGGGTAGTGCGC